TGTCCATTGACCTCAGACCTGGCAAACCCAGTCTGCAATCCGGACTGTCACAACTCACATTCACTCTGGCAACATGCAGCTTTCATCTGTTACCTACATTATCCTGTGGATCCTATGACCTGTGCCTGGGCCCTGCAAACACTGGGTCCTTGTTCAGGGAGTTCAGAGACGCTGTAGCCAGAACGGTAGTGACAAGGAAAACTCTGCTATTCTCCTGGTAAATCTGGAGCGGCTTTATACTGTGTTAGTTGCCAGCAAGAATAGCACAATAGGCTTTCACTGTACAAGTAGTATACACAAGTGTTGCGACCCACCCCAGAAGGAGAGGGTAACCCAGATTCTTATTAATAAATCCCTTGAGGCAGATTAGAGTGAAACAACACTGAAAAATATGTAAACACTTACGTGAAGGGCTTATTTTAGAACAATTTTGTTTCAAAGGTAAACAGGTATGTTGTCGTTTGGGGTGTTAGCAGTACAGCAGTATTACAGCATCTATAGCAATATAGCACTATTAAAGCATAGCAATATTAAAGCATCTATAGCTATATAGCAATATCAAAGCATAGTGGTACAGTACTATTAAAGCATTAAGATAACACTTAAGGAAATGCATAAGGGAAAGAAAGGGAAAGAAAGGATAAAGGTGGAAAAATATGTATAGTCACTGCCCACTGGATCCAGCAATAAAACTTGGTGGTTACAGCTTCCACACTGGTTGGTTGAAGTGGTGGCCTTGCACTGTTGGGGCTGGGGCAAGCCCCCCACAAAACTCAAAGGTGTTATGAGTTATTATACATTTCTAGCTCAGGTGGGAACACCTTGTACCTCCCTGGGGTGGGGAGTCTTAAAATGGATAGTGTCACGGGACATGTGACTGAGTCTCTGACATCTTCTAAGACAGCTGCAGCTGCCTATTGTGTCAGCACCAATCATGGTCCATCGTGGTCCAACATTTGAGATGCATAGCCCAGGCTAGATGTGCGGAATTATCATGTGAAGGGAGGACATTGGCATGATAAGAGGGATTCTCCCACCTTGCTGGGTTTGCCTCTTCTTAGCCTCTTCCCTTATTTGGAAATCCAGTTTGTAGCTTCAGGTATGCATCTGCACCCAGGATAGTCGGAAGATGGAACCCACCTACCTGATGTGAAGGTCCTTTGGCAGTATTCAGGGAAAGGTGGGCTTTACTGGGTGAGCAGCTGCTTCTTTTCAGTGTCCAAAAGTCTTTTGGTGATCTGAGAATGTGTAAGCCATTAACTGTTTCAGTCTCTGACAACAAGCAGTCCTGGTAAAGAATCATAGAACTATAGACTCATAGAATCATAGATTTATAGAATCAAGTGGGTTGGAAAAGACCTCCAAGATCATCAAGTCCAACCCTTAATCCAACACCCCCGTGGTTATTAGACCATGGCACTGAGTGCCACATCCTGTCCCATCTTAAAAGCCTCCAGGGATGGACAATCCACCATGGACAGCCCGTTCCAAGGTCTGATTACCCTTTCTGTAAAGAATTTCTTCCTAATATCTAACCTAAACCTCCCCTGGCACAGTTTAAGACCGTGCCTTCTTGTCCTACTGCTGGTTGCCTGGGAGACTGACACCCACGTGGCTACACCTTCCTTTCAGGGAGTTGTAGAGTGATGAGATCTCCCTTGAGCCTCCTCTTCTCCAAGCTGAACAATCCCAGTTCCCTCAGCCTCTCCTCACAGGACTTGTGCTCGAGTCCCTTCACCAGCCTCATTGCTCTTCACTGGACCTGCTCCATCACCTCAATACCCTTCCTGAACTGAGGGCCTAAATGACTAACCATGTCCTTGCTGACTGACCTACAATTAAATATCCAGGTTTTGATCTGCTGTGCCGCCCATGGACCCCCATACTGAGAGGTTTTTTCACTACAGGAAGTTTTTGAGATGTTCTGAGCTGGTGGTAGGGTCAGACATGGTTATGGCATACTGTTGTGAACTGTCACTCAGTCACATTAAATGTGGATCTACTTTTTTCACTGAAATAGCTCTGGCTCAGTTCATTTAGCAGTAGAGTTATAAGAAATAATAATAAGCAAGATTTTTATTATTATTCCTTCTTCTGGCCCTTGCCATGTTATGCACTGTCTCAGCTTAATGAAACTGAAGTGTTTTGCTAAGGAGGATGAATTATGAGGTAGATCAAACTCCTCTCTCTCAGCAATTGTAAATCCAAAATTGAGGAAGTACAGAGAAAGAAAAAATAACAACCCTTTATTGAAGGATATATGTGTATTGGCAGAACAACAAGAGAACACAAAAGAAACTAAACAATAATCCTGTACCCAAAAAAGTCCCTTTCAAAAAGGAAAGGGTTTAATACTCCCTGTCCTTTGTTGCAATTCTAATCACAGTCAGCAGGGGGCACTGTTGGATCACTGGAGGAGCAGAGCCTGCAGTTGCTCTGTGTTGGTCAGCAGGGGGCACTGTTGGGCTCTGGCAGTTGCCGCGTGAGGCCCCAGTTTGTGGGAGAAGCCGAAAATGGAGATCTTCCCCCCACACACCGAGAAGGGGAAAGGGAAAAGGGGAAAAAAGGCTCTTCCCACAAAACTCACGCTGTGTGCAGCTGGCTGTGGCTGGGAATTCCCCCTTTTTGTCAATGAACACATGCCACTGCCAACATGAGAGCGGAGGAGGGAGAGGTCGACCTCCTCCCCAAAGGGTTCCTCTGCTGGTGGGTCAAACCTCTCCGATGAAATCCAAGCAGGTCCAGGCTGGGGGCAGAACAGGGTGCAGGAAAAATGGAGGCAAACTGGGGCGAGAAAACAGCCAGATGACCAGGCCAAAAACAGAGTGAACCTCTGACCCCTCAAACACACATCTTGCCTGGGTTAAGGCAAAAGTGAAGTGCTCCTGTTTCCGAGGAGAGAAGGACAAAAAACTCATCACCCCTCCCCACAGTCTTAGGAGGGCCATCAGCTTCGAATGCAGGCCTACTAGTTAGTTCTTTTGTGTGTGTCAATTACCCTAGGCAAACCCCTTCTGCCTCCCTCGTTCAACATCTGTCTTTTACAGCAATGCAGGGGAAAGAAAAATTCCCTGCTTGGTTTTTTAGAACAAGTAAACCTAGCACATGCACATATACACTTTTCATATGCTTTAATAAAATGCTTACCATTTCCCCTTGTGGGAAAGGGTTTTATATAAGTTTTCTGTTCTCCTCTGTTGTCTTTTTACTTGAAACACTTGCTTTCATAACTTTCATTCAAAATATCAATATTCTAACTACCTTGCCATAAGAGGTACAACAAAAAAATAAAGTGATATGCTGCATGTGGCTAATTGTTACTGTCAATCAGTCTATGAACCTACAGGAAACATATATATATAATTGGCAGGATGAGCTGGGTGTGCTAACTGAGGTGCATAGCTCAGTCTGCATCCAACTTCTGTTTTAATCTTTATCTTTTATTTTCAGAAAAATCAAAAGACTACTGTCTGTTTGTTGGCCCATAATTATTTTTTCATCAGACATCTGTCCAAAATACAGAGCTGCATATTGGGACCTGCCACATTGCATAGCACATTTTGTTTGTATTAAGTATGATCCTTGAATCCCCTTGTCATTTTGAGCTGATGGTTATGCAAACCATAATCATCAAAGACTCATAATCAAAGTCTTGGTTTTCAACAGGCATAAAACTCCATTTGGCACATACTGGGCTCTTCCTTTTGGAGGGAAATAGCAGGTAGTATCTTTGGGGAAGAACTATTTAACAGATAGTATTTCCAAACCTCAACAAATTAGAGAGATGGATAATCACCAACCATATGAATTTTAACAAGGGCAAGTGCCGGATTCTGTACCTGGGATGGGGCAACCCTGATTGTATGATGGACTAAGAAACAGGAAGCCGGAAAACAGTGCTACAGAGAGAGACCTGGGGATCCTGGTTGATGGCAAGTTGAATATGAGTGAACAGTGTGACCTGGCAGCCAGGAGGGCCAACCCTGTGCTGGGGGGCATCAGGCACAGCATTGCCAGCTGGTCAAAGGAGGCAATTGTCCTGCTCTGCTCTGCTCTGCTGTGGCCTCACCTTGAATATTGTATACAGTTTTGGGCACCACAATATAAAAAAGATATTAAGCTTGTAGAAAGCATCCAAAGGAGGGCAACGAGGATGGTGAGGGTCTGGAGGGGAAGCCTGATAAGGAGCAGCTGAGGTCACCTGGTTTGTTCAGCCTGGAGAAGAAGAGACTGATAGGAGACCTCCTTGTGGTCTTCAACATCCTCATGAGGGAAAGCAGAGGGGCAGGTACTGATCTCTTCACTCTCATGACAGGACTCAAGGAAATGGCATGAAGCTGAGTCAGGGGACCTAGAGGGTGGCTGAGAAGTGGAATAGGTTCCCTAGGGAAGTAGTCACAACACCAAGCCTGTCTGAGTTCAAGAAGCATTTGGACAACATATGGTGTGATTCTCGGGGTCACAAGTTGGACTTTGAAGATCCTGACTGGTTCCTTCCAACTCAGCCTATTCTATGATTCTATTATTTCTCTCTCCTTCCTACTCATAGTTTTCTTCCTTAGTTACAAGGCAGTGGTCTCCTGCAACAAGTTAGTTCAAAATGTCCTTACTAAATATACTTTTTTAGCTCTTCCTGTTTGCAATCTATTAGGATTACATATCTGTATTTGGGTTTGGAGCACTACATTGAAACTATTATTGGGATCATTATTAAAATTAATTACATAATTATTATTGTTGTCATTTGTGATAAGCAGTCCAGAACAGTGGCTTAGTGAATCTCAGGAAAACATTTATGTTTTCCTTAAATACAATTCTTAACTTACCATTTAGAGAGAGCAGTCTAACACAATCATCTTCAACTCTGTGAATTCCAAAATTTCAGAGATACATTTTCAGAACAGCTTAGGAGAAATCATAGGAAATGTCCCTCCTAAAGGAGGGGAAATTAACAAAAACAGATGATGGTAAAAAATAAACTTTTTTCCCTTTCATCCTAGATGCAAAAAGGAAATTGCTGTCCTGTGACTCTTCATGTAGGACCTGTGAGAAATCTGCTGATATGTGTACTACATGTCCAGAAGGTAAGACTTCAGCTTCCTTGGGTAAGTTTTGCAAGAGACTATAATATTCTGTATCCTACACCCTACCAGGGAATGTTTTTGTCAATAGTCACTAGAAAGTTCCTTAACAGCTTAAAGGATAGGCAGGGAATCAGACAATCAGCACCTGCAGTCAGGCATCAGCATGTGCCCTTGGCAATATGGGTTAAAAAATTGTCAGGTAAATGGTGTTCCTTTCCTTTCAATCAAAAGTTGTAGATATGATGCAGGAATTACCAAACAGGGATTTATTCAGGAAGATGTACTTGATAATCCTGATGATTCCTTCTAACCATAAATTTCAGTGAAGTCTGAGCAAAATAGTTCTGGAAATTGCTTAAAGGATGTTTTATTCATGATTTTAAGCATCCATGTTGAATTTTGAGAAGTTGAAAGCTTTTTTTATAGCCATCCAAGGCAGGAATCTTTTCAATATATTTCTAATTGATGCATTTACTCACCTGGGTTGCTCTTTTTCCAGGAAAATTTCTTATCCATGATACCTGTGTTTCTCTGTGCCCTCAAAAAACTTTTGGCAACATTGCAAGTGGAAAGTGTGAGATGTGCAGGGATGGTTGTGAGGTATGTTCTGACCAATGGCATTGTCAGAAGTGTCAGGCTGAACAGGACCAGCTTCTCTTCCTCCACAAAGGCAGATGTTTACTGGAGTGCCCTGAGTAAGTAATGCCTGTTGGATAAGTGATCCTTATTTTTTTCACTGTGCTCCTTCTCTTTGAAGTTCAGATCCATTATAAACCTTTCAAGGAAGACTTTAATGTAACCTAAGGTACCAGAAACTGCCACACTGTAAAAATAATTTCCAGCCTACCTGAATAAACAGCATTTTCACTTGATTAGAGAAAAATCAAAAGTGAAGCTAAGATATGAAATCCTATGACAGATGGAACAGCTCCCATTGACTTCAATAGGACTGTGGTGCTTCAAGATGGTTCTTTATGGTGAATACAAATAAGCCTCTAGTCATTCTTCAGATTTGTTCCTTCCTCAAAGTAGTGCAGAGAAGCGTTATGAACCAGAAAGTTAACCTATCAGAGTCCAATATGGAAATACAGTGCTTGAGGCTTTGACTCATATTCTTTATTTTTTCCTGTAATAAATGAATTTCAAAAAGAAAGATTCCCATTTGACTGCAACTGATATTAGATGGATACTCAGGCACACGAGTAGAGCAGGTTCTGCCTTTTCTGTGCTTTTTTAATCAGCATTCTTCATGCCTATACATGCACATAAAACCTGTGCTACCCAGCATGAAAATCTTGTTTAGTTAACCTTTTTCTTCAGAAAAATGTGCAACACCTACTTTTCTTGCAATCAGTGCAAATTCTTTGCCTCTATGTTCCTGGTAATTTTGTCAGATTAAATAGTGAGTGCCAGCGGAACATGTTTTGTTCATGAAATGCCAGAGTAAATGCAAAGTAATTGCACTAAAGCCGACTGTAGTCCAGAAACAACTTTTAATATCAGAAACTGTCGCATACAAGCAAAGATAACGTTTTGGCATTAATATGCATGTTGTGAGTACCAACGCCCCAGTTACCCTACACAGTGAGTATAACAAAATTAAATCTTTTTGTATAGCACTAGTCTTTTCAGACATTATTATCCCTCTTTTTTCCAAATTCTAGACTCTAAATAATGGTTTCTCCTGATTCAGAAAAGTTCTCCTGTTTTAAACTGTGGTTTGAGACTCTGAGGCAAAGTTCTTGAGGCATAACTACTGGAGCAGAGGATTATATGAGAAATTTTTTTAGGGGGTTGGTTCGATTTGATTTTTTTGAGTTTTGGGACATGCTGTAAGGGATAAAGAGGGTTGGCTTACTGCACTGTTAATTTTTGACAGAGGATTTTCAAAGACCGGGCTGAGTACTCAACACACAAACAAGAGATGACAGGACTGTGAGAAATAGATGCAGAATCTTGACAAAGGTTAGAAGGAAAAAAAAGATGAAAATAGATGGCAGGCACAGCTCTTCCTATCTTTTCTCTAACCTTACTCCTAATGCATCTCCCCAGCCTTTCCTTGGAAAGATCTCCTCCAAGAAGGAAAAGAGAAGCACCCTTCTACAGGGAAAAACAAGCTTGTTAATGTAAAGTACATATTCTGGAACTAATTTCTATCTCATCTTCTTCCCTAGTTTTCATCAATGGCTCCACAGATATGGATTAGCAGTCAGCTGAAAATGTCAACTTGCTTGTCCTTTAATCTTGTAACATTGGTTTTGAGAGTTTAGACAGCCTCTCTTTCTATACATCTTCTCCTGAAATACAAGTGCAATTTTTTCTGTATTTTCTTTATGACAGTAACTGTGGCTGTCTACATTTGCTCTCACATCACAGATACCAGTGAAACATAACCCCTCTTCATCACCTCTAGCCTGCCTTCACACTACCAGGGTTTTCTCTTCTCTTTTGCCCCTCTAGGGCCACTGAGATTGTATTTCTCTGTCTTTCTCTGGTATCGCCATTGCAAGTCAGCTGTGCAAGACTAGAAATTGCACCTTTCTTTTCCCAAAGATCTATCTTATGTAAAGGAGGAAATAAAGAAATGAGCAACTTAGAAAGTTCAACGTCCCTTAGAGAATATGTACAAGAAAAAAGGAAGGTCAGATGCCCTGCATCTGCACTAATCATGAACATTTTCTTTTCACAGACACAGGGGATTTAAGTGGAGGACAGGTAACAAATTGTGTGAGAAACCTGTAAGATCCAGAGAAATGTGTGTGCTGGGAAAGTCTTATTTAGAGTTCTTATAGCCTGGACTGTTTGATAACTCTACATTGACCGGAAGTCTGCTTTGTGTTTTCTGTTTTTGTTTTTTTTTTCTTCAATAGGGGATATTTTAATGATTCTGAGACTTGCAAGGAATGCAGTGGATCCTGTAAGACATGCACAGGAAATGCAACCAAATGCCTATCCTGTAAAAGCCCTTTGCTTTTGGAGCACTGGAAATGTAAACCTACCTGTTCAGAGAAGCATTTTGCCTCTGAAGGAATCTGCAAACACTGCCCTGAAATGTGTCAGGAATGCATTCACAATGAAATATGCAAAGGTACTACAAAGAATTGGTCTTGACTTGGCTAAAATCCACCTAGTTCTGTCTGGAGACAGACCGACAGAAACATAGATCGGACTTGAAGTTCTGTAATGTGCAAAAATAAAAAAAGAAGTGATGTGCATACCATTTCTATTCTCTAAGACAGAGGCAAAACAGCTGGTGCTTTATGATGAGACAGTCAAATGGTTAATCTGTAAAGATTTCACATTGCTTTACCTGTTTCCGTTGTTCCTCAGAGATTCCTATTCATTTGATTCTATTTCTGATCTAGTGTATACATACCTAAACACTTACATATACATTTATACCAATGTGAAATACGGAAAATTTCTTTCCTTATTTGGTTGAACTTCACATCCCCTAACGATTTTTGCAAATGACTGTTAGAGAAAGAAATTTCTGTAATAAAACATAGTAGGAAAGCCTGGGATATCCTGGTGAGGCTGAATGCCCCCTCAAAAATTTCCAGCATAGTTAATATTAAGTTAGCCATTCTGGAAAACAAATCTATTAAACGAAGTACTGGTAACAAAAGTAGCAACTGATTCATAGCTCAAAGACAAACATTCAGGTCAATATACTCTAGACAAACCCATATTTTAATAATAAGCTAAACAAAACTTCAGATGTGGACATTCCTGGTTTTGCAAGAAGTTCATAATGCAGATACAGTATGCCAAGAAAAGGCTATCTATATTCAATGGTAAATGGTTTAGTTAATATCAGCAAACCTGAACCAGTGATTCACAGACTCTTGATGTAGCACAGAAGATACCATGTGAGGATTAGGCCAATATGAGCGTTTTGGAGAGGAAGGAGTTGAAAAAGAAAGTCTTAAGCTGTTCTGTTGCCTTCTGTTGTGACAGATAATGCAGAATTTATGGTTTCCTAGGATTTATTCACTCCATCACTTAGAGGGTGAGAATTAGCCATCCCTTTGCTTACCCGTTTTCTGGTCTCCCCTGTAGAGTGTATGGACCAGTTCTTCCTGCACGAGGGGAAGTGTGTGCAGGAATGCTCTTCACACTTCTATGCTGAAGACAAGCACTGCTTTCCCTGCCATGCTGACTGCAAGGATTGCAATGGGCCAGATTCCAATGACTGCACAGCATGCACCTTCAACTTGTTTGTCCTCTACAATGGCATGTGTTTTGAAGAGTGCCCTGAAGGGAGTTACTATGAAGAAGCCACTGGAGACTGTCAAGGTTGGCAGCTGTTGTTTTCCCCAAAACAGTACTGAGATACAAATGGATCTGTTTAAAGGCCATGCCCAAAAAGTGTGTCTGTTACCACCCACCCCAGGAAAAGGGGAGAGGGGTAACCCAGGTTCTCATAAATAACTCCCTTGGGGTGGATTAGAGTGAAACAACACTGAATAATCAGTGTCTGAAAACATAAATAGGTAGGGTTTATTTTAAACATATATAGGTAGGGTTCACTTTAACAATTTTGTTTCAACAGGTATGTTAGCATTTTGGGTGTTGTCATATAACAATGTGACATAGGTATAACCTTTGGGGGGGCAGAAAATGCATAGGGGAGAGAAAGACAAGATAAGAGTAAGGGAGAGTAAGGAAAAAGAAAAGATGAGAGTGGAAAAAATATATATAGTCACCGCCCATGGGGTCCAGCGATGACACTTGGTGGTTGCCGCTTCCATGTCTGTCAGTTGAAGTGGTGGCCTTGATCTGCTGGAGGTAAAGGAGGGAAGCCCCCACACGCCAAGAAGTTACGAGTTATTATATCCATGGTTAGTGTCACGGGCCTCTCCCTGGGCCTGCGCAGAGTTTTTTGTGTCTGGCCTGGTTTCCACCTTTCAAGATTGGCGGGG